AATTCTGCTTCTGGATATTTATCTAAAAGAAATTCCCACACATGCCTATCAGGGAACATGACAAGGATGATGGGACATTAGAAACAATGTCACTGTGGGCATTCATCGCTGCAAGTAGATAGAGAAACTGGTGGATTCACTTCATGGAGAACTCTGCAGCAGTAAGAGACACTGGACTTAATGGGATTTACATGTAAAAATGGGAGTAACTGCAAGAATTTTGTCAGTAGAGAAATGAAACCAAATGGACAATTAGCTGAAATACATACAATCTGCCCTAGGTGGTTGATTTGCCAATGGAGAAATGAAACCAAACAAGAACAACAAAACCCAAACTGTTAACCAATATATTATCTTTTTTTCGTTATAGCAAAATTGTCTTACAGCAAATTAGTTATGTGGGGAAAATGTTTGCAGTAAAAATGCTTGAGGCTAAGTGGTTTATTGCAAAAATACCTGACAAAATGATACGTCGGCTGGGGCCTGTGTTTGGTTAAGATGACATTTTCCTGGTCTAATCCTGAAAACTCTGGCCCTGTTCAAACCTCATCTTTACCTACTGTCGGCCTTCATCTCTAAATTCTGGCTACACTGACTACCACCTTTCCCCAGTGATTGTAGAGCACATAAGAACCAGATTGGGCGACGTGGGCAATAAATACATCAACTTTGATTTCTGTGTCACATCATGTCTTCAATCCTCCACATAAATCTTCTCCTTTGGTCCTTAAAGCATTACTGTGAGGAAGAGAGGAATTCTCAGTACCACTAAAAATGAGAAAATTGGCAAAGCTGGAATTAGCCATGGCTCATAGAGCCTAGATTACGTATGTATCGATCGATTAATCCATCTTCTGATTGTTTTGGAGGAAATTATACATGCTTATTTTAAGAAATTCAAACAATTCAGAAATGTTCAATGACTATAACAAAACCAACACCTATAAATCATTCTTAAATTTGTATGAACATTCTTCCTGATAATTCTATATGTAGTCATATTTATATATACGAGTAACATTCTGCATAAATGATAATTCAGTTCTTTTGGCTCAAGTAGAGAAATAACACGTGTATCAAGAGATAGACTATAGAGTACAGAGTGAAAGGTTTCAAAGGACGAAAATAAGAAGCAGTGGGAGGTGACTCAGGAGCATCCAGCCTGGGTGCCCAGGATGACAGTGCTGCTCTTCAGAGAAGTAGGGAGTCTGGAAAGGGAAGGTAAGACTTCAAACTGGTCCACTGTGAGGTTTGGTTAGCCGGTGGTGCCTCTATGACCATGGTAATAGACTCACAGACTAAATTCTATAATGATTTTTATATATTCTAGTGGCGGAGAAGGCTTTTGGAGAGCACCTGAACCACTCAGGGGAAAATGAGAAGGGACTTATTTTGTTAGCAATCAGGAAAAAAAAATAGCATTGTATTCCTTACTGTTACAGATAGTTAAGAACTTTTTTTTAAAAAGCCATTTATTTATTATTATTTTTTAAATACTTTATTTATTTATTAAGATTTTATTGGGGAATTGGGGGAGGGGGAACAGACAAGTAGCTGTCCTTTTGTTCTTCAGTCTAGTTGTGGAGGACATCGCTTCACTGGCCCATGTTGGTATTATTGCGCTTTTCCCGGGTGAGGCAGATGGGTCACCGGCCTCTGGACGGCTGCTCACGGCGGCTCTTGGCAGCTCACACCGGCTGCCAGCCACTCACGTTGGCTGCCAGCCACACACGGTAGCTTATGGCAGCCCCACTGCAGCAGGGGCTACAGCCTATACCGTCACCGGCGACTCACGGGCAGCCCAGCTCCAGGTTGAACTGTTGTTCACCATCTTAGCTGCAGAGGGCGCAGTGTCACTGGCCCCCATGTGGGATCTGAACCAGGGCCCTCTGGTGTCCCAAGCCAGCTCTTAACCAACACACCACTCAGCCAGCCCTAAAAAGCCATTTATTAATGCAAAAAGATTCATAATGTATATTCTGTAATTTGGCAATGTTCAGAGGCTGAATACAGCTAACAGAGGACTCAGTTAAGCCATATCGTAATAGTATTTAGTGGAGTAGACAGGATGGGAATAGGGTTTCTATTAATACCACTGTAAAGAAGGGCACCCCAGTTGGGACCCCCTCTCGTTTTGAGAGCTGTTACTTTCTGCTCTACTAAAACTATTCTCTGCTGTAAAAAAAAAAAAAAAAGATGTATAATTATTGGTTAAAGGACAAGATCTTGGAGACATTTAGGAAGAAAAAAAAACATATCCATTGATTACAAAATTCAATACTATTAAAAAATACAGACCAATAATATTTAGTGAAATATGTTGCCGGCTGGTGATCCGAGGGAGGACAGTGGGGAATGAAAAATAAAGGAGACCTGAGTCAAAGATGGGATCAGGAGGTCTCTGAAAGCTGAGCTTGCAAGAGCCCCGAATAATCAGATACACTATTTTATACAGCTACAGCCAGGATGTTGTTTCAGGTAGTTAAAGGAGGAACAGGGGAATAGCTATCTGGAGAAGCATATTTTTCTAGTTCTTTATAGTTACACTTGTGAGTACCAATTGCAGAAGTAGGCAAGTTCAGCCAAGGAGCTAGTCTCTAAATAAAGGTCAGAAGGAAGGAGCTTGTCTGCCCAAAGCAGACCACGAGCAAGGGGGAGAGGAGAATGGGGTCAGCTTTTGGCTGAGATCCCAGACTGCAAGGACCATGTCAGCTTGGAGTCAGCACTCCACAGAAACAAGCTGACCACATTTTGTATTCATACATCTTTTTTGTTTGTCCCAAATACTTTGAGAAAATGAGCTTTTACTTGTATCCTCCTGTAATATTTTGTACTACAGCAAATTTATTAGGATCATTCACCTAAATTTTTTTTTTCCACTAAAGAAAACAAAATCCAACATTATGGAAAACAAATGAGAGCAATATATATTCAGATTTAAGTACTTCTGTTTCATTTAAAGAAAAAGCAATACTTAGATCAGTGGTTCTCTAACCTTAATGTGTATCAGAATCACCTGGAGGGTTTCTTAAAACACAAATTGCTGGGCCTCACTTCCCCAGAATTTATCATTCAATAGGTCTGGGGTGGGTCCAAGTTTTTACATTTATAACAAGTTCCCAGGTGATCTGACGCTCCTAGATTAGAGACCACACTTTGAGAACCGCTAGTTTAGATAGTGGACGTTTTTTTCCCCCCTCCCTCCCATTATTCTTTGATCTCTCTTCAAACCTTTGATATGGCCTTCTTCATTGTATCTCAGTATATTCAATCTACATTGCCTTTAAAATTAAAAAAAAAAAATCAGTGATATTTGCAATCAAAATTCAAAGCCTGACACAAACCCCACTTTCACAACCAAACTTTCTCCAGTTTCCCAGCAGCCAGACTTTTGTAGTGTTAGGACTCCTATAGTAATTGTCGTCTACATTTCTTATACTAAGTGTGTGCTACCATGTGCTATTCAGCCATATATGTAAGTATATATGTATTTTATGCATTATTTTTCTTCCCCATTCTGATAAGCTGGAAAAAAAACCCCATTTACTTGCTAATGTAGTAACCACACAGCTAATTAGGCTTAAAGGATTAGAGATGTGTACCTACATTTCAATCCAAATCAGCAGTATTTACAAAAGGTAGCACACGGAATGGCTTACTGTATTCTTTTCCATGCTGATATCAAATAACTTGCTTTTGCCTTGTCAAAAATTAAATTGTGCTTTCTGTGTTCATGGTGGGTAGGTTCCTGCAGGCCTCTCATTCTAAGCTACAATACCTGAATTATCTATTTCTTGAAGACTGGCTTTCTAAGACATTAAGATTATTTATCGTTTGCTCAGCTATTATAGAAGGACCATATTAAATTGTCTCTGTATCTTTGCAATGTTGTCACTGAAAGACAGTATTTCATAGGTCCTTGACTAAATTCTCTTGAATGTAGTACCTAAAAAAATTTTTTTTAAATAAGGTACTCTCAGACCATTGTGAGACCTTATTAAATACCAAAAACAAGAAACCAAGTATACTTCTCACAGATATGGCCAAACGTTTTAAAACTACAGTAATAAGCTCATACATCATCTCTCACTTAGCAACATTTGATTTTTGAGGTCGATTGGATTTCATTTTCTAAGTGCTCTTGCACCTTTTTCAGGTGAGCAAGTGTATTGTCACACCATCCAACGTGAGCACGGACTCTAAACCATCTGGCCCACTCCCTCATTGCACAGGTGGAAGGAGTTAAATGAAGCCCAATTAAAAACCATCAGGAGGCAGAACTGCCAGTCTCAGGACTGTAAATCTATGGTTGTCTTCCTACTTTGCTCAGGCAAATGTAGAGATATTACTGAGCGTTACTCCACTTTGCCTTCATTTGCTAATTTCTACTTTCCAAGGCGGGATCCACCAACCACAAATACAGTACGCTAACGAGTACATCCAAAGACTGCTTCAATATGGGGCTGTAACGCAGGTCAGCTCCCGACAGGTGAGGCCGAAAACGGGGCCATAGAGTTCATACCAGTTATAGTCTAGAGGCGGCCACTGCGGGAAGCAACATCCGCCCTTGCTGGTGCAGCCACGCTAGCATACTGAACAATAGTGGCTAACAGCCAGCTGCTTACATAAGAGCTGACAAAGCGGGGGGGGGGGGGGGGGGGTGCGTCAGCAAGCTGTCTGCGTATGCCCGGGTTACAAGCCAATCCTTTTCCATGTGGGGTCCGAAAGCCTGGCTATATTGCTACCGGGGCCCGCCCCAACAGGGACACGAGCTTTCTAGTGATAAAAACGTAGTTACGCAAGTTATCTTCAGTGGAACCACTTTCGTTTTCAGTGGTTAGTACTTCGGGAGTCACTCCTTCCCAAAAGCTAAGCTTGATACAACTACCAAGTGCAACTTCCAAGTCCATCACTCAAGTGTCCAGCTCCTCTGAGGACTCTGTGGTTGGCCCTAAAAAGGGCCTTTGGGATTGCACGCGTTAAGCCTGCAGCGACCGCCTAGCCTCCGAAGCCGTACAGGGTGCGTCCCTGTCGCTTGAGCGCGTACACCACGTCCATGGCGGTGACCGTCTTGCGCTTGGCGTGCTCGGTGTAGGTGACGGCGTCCCGGATCACGTTCTCCAGGAACACCTTCAGGACCCCGCGGGTCTCCTCGTAGATGAGCCCCGAGATGCGCTTGACCCCGCCACGCCGAGCGAGGCGCCGGATCGCGGGCTTAGTAATGCCCTGGATGTTATCCCTCAGCACCTTGCGGTGGCGCTTGGCGCCGCCTTTGCCTAAACCTTTGCCGCCCTTGCCTCTCCCAGACATACTCGCTATTTTCCGAAAACACAACGGCGGTACTGGGAAGGGTGGCTGGGCCCCTGATATACAAGGAGATCGGACCGGAGTGAACACCACAAGCGCGCGGGCGGGCAGCGGCCTCGGGTGTCCCCGCCCGCCCCGCGTTTCCTCGCCTCGCCCCCACGCCGCCCTCTAGCGGACTCGCGCTACCACAGTCCCGGGAGAATTCCCGTCCCAGGGCCAGGCTCCCGGCTTCCGGGTCCCTCTTCCTCTGTGTCTCCCCGTTTGTGCGCCCCTACCCCCCGCCCTCGGGGGGTGGGCGGCATTAAATGTAGGCGAAGAGGAAAGGTCTTTTTGGGGGCTGAAGATCAGAAGACGAGCAGACGGAGTCTAGGGACGCGAAGGAGACTAGGGCCCCAGGGCCGTGTCTAAGCCTGTCTGGAGGATGCCAGGCTCCCGGAACTATGGTTACATAAAAGGGCAACAAAGGCAGTTCGGGTTAATTAGACTGACGGATTTACGAGGCGACCTCCAGAGGTAGGGCACCTGGAATGTGCAGCGAGGGTGGAGGGGAAGGTCGTCATAATGCTTGAGTCTAGTTTCTGTTTTGGCAGTATGAGGCCTGGAATTTCACCTCACCCAGGAGAAAGCAGATTCTAGGAAAACTGGTCTCATTATACTGCCAAACCTGATGCAGATCAGTGAATCCAACGCACTGTCATCCAAGGCTCTGCTGAAAGAAGTAATATATACAGAAAGAAGACTGAACAATTTGTAACTCCGTTTCTAGCTCCTTCCTTGTTCTCAGCCAGGATTCAGTCCCAGTTTGTGGCCTCACATCAAACTCCAAAGTTAACTGAATTGGGTTTCGCAAGGGGACATCTGCTCCACATTGTGAGAGTCATTACTAGAAACTGATTGGGGTCTGATAGAACGTTCATTTCTTTACCAGGGTCTTCTGTAGGCCAATCCATGAGACAATGGTTTCTGCATCAGAAAGAATTATGTTTTTTCCCAAGAAGAGCTTCTTATTTTAAAAAATCTTGGTGCCTTCTTTCACCTCTTCTTTTACTCTATGTTCTGTAGGCTAATGAATCCCAAATCTTTATCTAGATTTCTAGATCCATCCTCCTGGTTGTTCTTTAGCCATCTTAAACTCAAAATCTCCAAAAATCAGAATATTTAAACTGACAGTCTCTAAAGTATGTCTCATGGGAGCTAAGAAGATTCATTCTTTTCTCCCCACCTCCCCTGCCTGTTCATTGAATGGTGCCACCCTGTCTGTGTCACATGTCTAAGACAACAACCTGGAATTCATGATAGATGTTGAAGGGTAGTAGAATATGCCACCCCAAAATATGCTGCTTTGGTATATTATTTTGAGCCATAGGCACTTGAAAAACATCAAGTGCAGGGACAGGCTTTCTTTGAACTCCCCTTATCTGCCTTAAAGACAGATTCCCCCCCCCCCAAAGGAACTCAATTGCCTGGGCCTAAGAATTAAATTGACGTAAGACTGATCAAAAGGAATAAAGGCAGACAAATTTTAATATTTGTATGTGTACACGGGAGTCTTCAGAAAGAAAATGAAGACCTGAAGAGCCTGTTAGGCCCCAAAGCTTATATATACCTTTTCAAACAAAGAACAATCAATTCTAGGGCTTCGGCTAGGGACAGTAAATTGTAGGACAATGACTAGGATATACATAGGGGAAACTCATGGAACAAAAGGGTTATTTTGGTAGGTTGGTTTTGACAGATTCATTTTGGCATTGACTCTCTGTCTCTGATGAAAAGAATGTTCTGTTCCTGGTACTAGGAGTGTATTTCTCGAATGGGAAAGTTTATGAGCTGCTTTTAGGTAAGAGGGGCAGGTCAGAGAGCCCTCCCTGCATCTGCCATTTCTCAAGTGTCTTCAAGCTCAAATTCAATATACCGAAGTGGCATATTTCGGGGTGGCATGTTCTGCACCACTTCAAACTCTTAGCTGCTGTAGGGGAGGCAAAATTTTACCTCTACCTTCTTAGAGTTTTTGGCTATGCCTGAGAATTAAATTAATAGAAGACAGATTAACAGGAGAAAGCATACACATTTATTCACTGTAAGTTTTACTTGCCATGGGAGCCCTCATAAGGAAATGAAGACTCAAAGAAGCAGTTAGAGTTGAACACTTGGCATACTGAACTGGACAATGAGTAGTGAATCAGGAGAATGTAACAAGACAAAAGGGCTTGCTTTTGTTTGGGCATTAATGGTGGAAAAGCGCCCAGGAAGATAAGGGTTAGTTTAACAAGGTTTGTTTGTACAGATTTCTCTCAGCTTTGACCACCACCCTTAGTAATATGAATGTTACTTTCCTCCTGTAAGGGGAAGACATCTTCCATATGAAGGTTTGAATTCCTGTTTTTAGGAAAGAAAGGGGACATCAGACCTCCCCCTCGCACCTGCTGTTTTTCAAGTGCCTTTAGTTGAAAATAATCCTTATGCCATATTTTAGGTGTGGCATATTGTGTCACTGATGGGGCTCAGGACACGCTACCCCAAAATATGGCACCTTAGTATATGGAATATTTTAAGTTGCAGTGGTCTTTCCAGGGACCTTCTCCTAGAAAAGGTCTTGAAACCCTCGTGTGAAAGGTGCCTTCCTTAATACCCCGTGGAAAGGAACATTCTTATCTTTAAAGACAAAGGAACACACAGAAGAATCCTAAAAACAGGTCTTGCTGTTTCTGTCAGGTTACTGTACTTACCTCATGCTCCTTAACCTGCCCCATTTCTATATGACTGCCCATTCTTCATTAAACCTAGCATAAAAATACTTAGTTCTGTTTTTTTCGGATCTTCATTTCCTTACGAAGGTTGTTGTGTCATGTAAAGCTTATATTAAATATATTTGTGTCTTTTTCTCCTGGTAATCTGACTGTCAGTTTCATTTTCAGCAGCCAGGGACCCTAGGAGGGTTGAAAAAAACTTTTTTCCCTCTCCTATACCACCCTTCACTGTGCAGTACAGGCAGTATTGTTAAGGACACGTAGAAAAGGGGGAGTTTTTATCCAGTGAGCAGGATTTTGAGGGACTGAGTTTAATCTCAATGGGGTAAGGAATGAAGTCAAAATCCCACAGCTTCTCAATTTGGTTCAGGGCTACAGGCCACTCAAAATGAAAGGGAATCAGGCATATGGCCTGACCAGCCCACAAACCAAAGATTCAGTCTCATCTTGGTGGTACCTGATGCCCTTGGGGGCACTTGAAGTCAAAGACTAAACACAAACTGTCTTCCTGGAACATATATTTTAATTTAGTCCATTACTTTTGTATTAAAAACAAACATAAGCATATAAAACATTACAAGCCTAATAATTTCTTAACATTTTCCTTTGCCTGCTTATTTCCTGTGGTAAAATTTAAGCTCATGCTTGGTTTTCTTTTTCCCCCTTTCACAGTACTAAATGATGAAATTTCAGTGCTCAATCTCGAAACTGCAGATTCTTATTATTTCTGGGGAAAGAAGCTTCAGAAATATTAGGAGAAAAATAGTCCCTCTTCCCTACAGCTGCAGTAAAGCAGAGGTTCTTCTGCATTATAAACTTGCTTCTGATAAAGTGGCGTATTGAGAAATATCACTGAAATACCACTCTATTGTCCAATGTGGAGACCAAGCGGAACTGAACAAGTATGGATCTGGATTCTGTTATTAAAGATGATTCTGAGGGCAACCATACATCACAGATTGTTATATTCTGAGAAGTGTTACCCAGAATTTGTAAAAGTTTACTATTCTGATTGATGATCGTATTTGATTTGTTGCCCTGGAATTAATATTTAAATTGACATTTGTTTTCTGAGAAGTAGAAATTCTTATGCAATTTCTTTATTAAGCCAGCAGAAGACTCTTGAATTTTTTCTTATTCTCTTTATGTTATAAAGGTAAAGTAAATCCTATAAAATAAATTCTATTCATATAGAATCCAGTATATGTGAATATGCAGCTTGAGAATCTTTTTTTTATTTAAAAGAATTCTTCCATAGATCATGGCCAAGAGTGCACACGTTAAAAACAAAAGTGAAAACAAAACAAAAAACACTGCAAAGAAATGTGATCCTTCTGTGGGGTGCTTTGGGCTGTCATCCAGACCCATAGGTAGTTTCTTCTAATTAGAATAGTTCAGTGGAGAAGTTTCAGAAACATTGAGAGATTTGATTGCAGGAGGGGAAAATTCTTCAGTGTTTTAAAATGTACCCCAAGTCTGATGAAACTGGAGATGCATTATAATTTCATTCTTTTGCTTTAGCATGTTATGCGGGCCTTGTTACTTATCTGGGACAAGCCATAATTTCTCTGACACTCTGTTTCTTTATCAGTAAAATGAGGAAAATAACACCTATTTCACAGAGATGTGATTAAATGAGATAGTGTATGCAGAAGACTTTTTAAATACTGAGGAGTGCTCTATATACATGTGAAGCATTCTTATAAAACCACCACAGGAAGAGGTAACAGCTGTTCACATCAGTTACACTTCTGCATGGCATTTTAGATCTTCTCCCTAGAGCAGGTGATTGCTTCTGCCTGAGGGGACTCTTGAAGATTATAAAAAGAACACATTTCTTCATTGGGTTTTGTATTCAGGAAATCCTCTCAAAATCACTTATTTGACTTCAGCAGGAAGGTGATAATTCATATTGACACCATCAAGATAAGTTTTAAGCTACTTGGGCCTGCTTTTGTGGTCCGGTTTGAGTTTTTATGAGGTTTGGATGCAATGCTTTTTCAATAAAATAAGCATACATTTAAATTTTATATTAATTATTACAAATTTAAGCATTGGTAACCTTACATAAACGTTTTATGACATGCAATTTTCTGAGCAATAGTTCAAAGTATGAAATAAAAGGCAAAGGATCTTCAATTATCTTATAAAAAATAGATTAAACTTTTAAGCATTAGAAAACCTTATTGAAGGACACTCGCTATCAACTCAGTACAGAACAAATAATTTATTTGCTTTGAATCTATTTACCATTATAAGGGACAAATTAATATTTCCGGTCTTATCTTACTTAGAAGCTGTTTCGTTTATAGGACATAGTTGGCCATTGATGGATTGAGGAGAGAACCGCATTCTGGGGGAAAAGGCTACAGAAAGGCAGGAAGGCTCTACTCTGCACGCTGGGACAGGTCAGCACAGTGCTTGGGCGGATTTCCAAGTCAGGTAAACATAAATTCAACTTTTGGTTCCTTCATCTACATATTATTTTGCTGAACCTCAGCCATAACGCGCTTGGCAATGTCGGTCGCTAAATACAGCTTAGCTATGGGTGACTAGTAACTGGAAATATAGACTGAAACACATAGTTCATGGGAGGGCATGCTTGTATTTCTAAAGAACCTGTTAAGATATAAATTCCAAGCGTGCAAAAACATTTTGTAAGTTGCCCTTACAAAACTTACACCAATATAAAGGAAGGGCATAAAAAAAACCACCAAAAAAACACTCCATCTGTGATCAATAAGATTACAGAAAAGTACGGGAAGGAGTAGCATAACTTCAGTCCCTTAAATAGGATTGAATTCTAGCCAATGAGATCACAATTCTAAAATTCCTGGTTTTTCTGGCCCAATCAAGAAGAGGCTGTGTCTATAAATAAGACTGCTAGCTCCCTGGGAAAAAAAACCAGTGACACCATGGCTCGCACTAAGCAGACTGCTCGTAAGTCGACCGGTGGTAAGGCTCCGCGGAAGCAGCTAGCCACCAAGGCGGCCCGCAAAAGCGCCCCGGCCACCGGCGGTGTGAAGAAGCCGCACCGCTACCGGCCGGGCACGGTGGCGCTGCGCGAGATCCGGCGCTACCAGAAGTCGACGGAGTTGCTTATCCGTAAGCTGCCCTTCCAGCGGCTGGTGCGCGAGATCGCGCAGGACTTCAAGACCGATCTGCGTTTCCAGAGCTCGGCCGTAATGGCGCTGCAGGAGGCGAGCGAGGCCTACCTGGTAGGACTGTTTGAAGATACCAATCTGTGTGCCATCCACGCCAAGCGCGTCACTATCATGCCCAAGGACATCCAGTTGGCCCGCCGCATCCGCGGTGAGCGGGCTTAAGGCCATTTGTTACTAAGCAGACCATCTAAAGGCTCTTTTCAGAGCCACCCACGTTTTCGCGAAGAGCAGCTGTACTTTTAGCTTTCCAGCTGAAGTCAGTTGACACATACTACACTGGTGTGGACAGATGGGTCAGAGAAACTCGCGCGTGATGTGACGGGTGGTGATGGAATCGTGGTACCTGACGGGCTACAGGTAGCAGGACAGGCGAGGTCTAAGTTTCAACCAAGCCTCATAATTACTTGCTCGTTTGACTTGGTATGGGTGCTAACCACATTTGGAAAGTTCACAAAGAGATCCACCGAATCGTTTGTAATGGGCTCGAGTCTTGGTCCGAAATGTCAGCAAAAATACGGAAATTGACACTAAAAGTTGCTGTTTGGATGATAGTCGGGATTTTACTCGATAATCAGTAGAACGAGAACCGAATGTTGGGTAAAAAGCTATCCCCAGGTACGTCGGGACTCAACAAGGCTTTGTGCTGAGTCACGAGATACGTAAGGTCGCGAGGGCGGAGGCAAGAATCTTAAAATTATAAAGCCTTTTGTTTGTTGGCTTGTGCTTAAGAATGATAGAGATCTAGTTACAAGGGACGCAAACTAGAATGGGAATTTCAGGGAAATACGTCGAGTACGTAGAGGTTTTTATTTTCTTAAAAATGAGCTATTGCAAAAAGCAAAAGTTCCACCAAGTATACAGGAAAACAATTCGAAAGTAAAGTTAACTTGTCTTTAGTTAGCGCTTCAGATCTTTTCCGTATACAAGTCTAAAGTTGGAAGTGAAAAGCAACAGCAGAAAAGCACCCCCGATTTAAAACTGATTCACAATAATTTACTGTTTTGTGTGAAATGGAACGTCTTGATTGGCTAACAAGACCTCTGTTCTAATACCCACTAAGGGAGCGAGGACAGAATCTTTCTAACATGGCTCCACCTCTATGACGACAGTGTTGGAAGTTAACCAATCAAAATACTGTACTATGAGAGTCTTCATTTGCATAAAGGCTCTATAAGTAGCGCGGAACCAACTCGGTTGGCTGTAGTTGGTGTCGTTGTTGGTGTCAGGTGTTTCTGGTGTTTCTTCGTGGGACAATGCCGGATCCAGCGAAATCTGCTCCTGCTCCTAAGAAGGGTTCCAAGAAAGCTGTTACGAAGGTACAGAAGAAGGATGGGAAAAAGCGCAAACGTAGCCGGAAGGAGAGTTACTCGGTGTATGTGTACAAGGTGCTGAAGCAGGTTCATCCGGACACCGGCATCTCGTCCAAGGCCATGGGCATCATGAATTCCTTCGTCAACGATATCTTTGAACGTATCGCTGGTGAGGCGTCCCGCCTGGCGCATTACAACAAGCGCTCGACCATCACATCCCGGGAGATCCAAACGGCCGTGCGCCTGCTTCTGCCCGGCGAGCTGGCCAAGCACGCCGTGTCGGAGGGCACCAAGGCGGTTACTAAGTACACCAGCTCCAAGTAAGCTTCAGGAACGCAACAGAACAGCTGTTCTTACCCCAAAGGCTCTTTTCAGAGCCACTTAAGTTATTGAAGAAAGTGCTTGTAAACACTTGGAGGTTGGTAAGCTTTTTCCCAGAGAGGATAGGTAGGATAGGTGTGGAATCACGGATGTATTGGAGGTTAGGTTAAGATTGATTACGATATTCCTGGCTGTGGGAACTCGGTAGCCTACTATATATATAGCTCAAGATACTAAGGGGATGAATGAATGACTGGTAAAGAGTCTATAGGGGTCCCTAGTTAGAGGAGTTACTTACAGTTTAGGTATGCGTAAGGGAGAGTTTGGTTTGACACCGTTTTGTAACGACTGGAGGAAGTGGGCTGTTCGACCTTTCTTACCTCTAGGTGTCTACCGAAGTCATTCTTAAAATTCAGTTGGGGTATGTTTCTCCTAGGGTACGGATTGAAAGGGCTGTTTCCCAGTCTACGCTATGAATTTTTCGCCTAGCTTAAACGTAATTATACCACAAACTAAAACCCACGTTGTTCATAGTTTGACCTACCTTAAGTCCGGGCCCAGACATTCTGCTAGTTTCTGCCCAGTAAACAACCAGATGTTTTGTTCTCCAGTATAGGACATTTGGCAATATCCAGATGCATTCTTGTCATCACTGGGGGGCGGGGTACTGGCATCTAGTGGCTAGAGAAACCAGGGATGCTGCTAAACATCGTACAATGCATAGACAGCCGCAGTAACCAAGAGTCATTTGGTCCATAGCGTTGCCCCTTGTGCGGAGGGTGAGTCAGGGCCCAAAGACTTGCAGGATTTAATTTTCAATTCTGTTAAATCTCAGCCCTACAAGCCAATGTTACTGCTCTTGGTGAATGCTGAGCACAAGAAAATGGTCTTCGATAAATTAAAAAAAAAAAAAAAAAAGGAAACATCTCCAAGGCTAGGGACCTTGGTTTTGCAACAAGCTTTCCTGGTTATAAAAACTACTTTATTGCTTGTGAAACGTTTCCAGGTGTGTCTCCTGAAGTTTCCTTGAGGTGGAGACTGAGGAGGTGGTTTTTAGTGTTTACAGGTGTTTTGTTTTTGACAGGTTTTTGGAGCATGTTGTACAAAAGGCCACAGTTAACATGTGGGCTGAATTTGTAAGGGCCTCTCTCTTCAAACCTTGCATAATTCAAGACTAATCCTTACAGAGGCTGGTGAATGTTTTACCAAATAAAATATATCCTTGAGGCAAAAGGAAAATCTTAGTTTCCAACTCACTTGACAAGTCAAGCTTTGAAATTAAGTGATTCTTGATAATTTGGGGGGAATGTACATGACAACTTTGGGCTTAAAATGAATTTTTTAAAATAACGGAGTTCAAATTTACATCCAGTTTAAAGTTGCATAAAATGAGATGTAATATTTCTTTCACTGGGAAATTAGGATTCTCAGTGAGCCACCTTCCCCTGGCAACTACCAGACAAGAGGCCAGGGCAAGATGACTCAACTGAGAATCCAAAATTTCCAGTGAAAGAAATCATACAGCACATTTTATGGTAGGAAAAATTGCTCAATACGTGAGAAGACCACAGTGGGCTGTCTTCTACCCAGTCAAGCCATCAAAGAATATGTCTGGCCTCCTTGCCCACAATCCTGAGGTCCAGGGGCTCCTTTTCTCTCTGAAGACTAGGGACCATGTTTCTCATGGTCTTTTGAAGTCGTTGCAGCATTGTCAATTGGCTCACCTAATCAAATGCTATCATTAATTATCCATTAGGATTAAACCCCAACTCCTCCTAAAACCAAAGGCCTTCCACCATCTGGCCAAAATTTACCTTCTTCAATTACTCATTTTCCCTAGTCCTCCAGTTTAGCTAAAATGTTCTATTTATTGCCCTATAATGCATCTTAAATTTCTTTTCCTTTGTGCTTTTGTTATATCATTCTTCTAAGTAGTCGTAGTACTCAGTAGTTCTCTAAACTAGTCACACTACCAACCTGTCAGTTCTTCAAACTCTTGTTCAAAGCTCATTCTGTAAGCATTTCCATCCCATTCGACTTCACAGGGAAGTCTTTCCCCTTTTAATTCTTAAGGCCTTGTTCCTTGTACAATGAATTCACAATTAACTGTAACTTTGTGAACTGTGTAGCTTTGTTCTTTATTTTTCATTGTTTTTACATTTTGTGTTTGTCTTCTACTATACGAAAAGCACCCCCCCCCTTTTTTTTTTACTTCTTTGGATCTACCTCAAAGGCTATCCCAGTGCCTATTGTAAAACAGCTTCTCAGTGAAAGTTTGTTGACTGATCGCCCAGACCACAGAACACTGACAAATTGATCTAAGGACAATACGTTTAAGTATGCCAATTAGCTTTTTAATCCGTTTTCCTAATTTCTTCTTGCTCCTTAAACCTGGAATGCTCTTTTAACTGCCCTTAATAACTATTGACCCAGAAAAAATTCCTGTTAGAGATTCAAAAATCCTGAGAGTGGCAGATAAAATACTTCCCTTCAGCCCAAGTATCTTTGTGGACAAAATGATGAGATTAGAGTGGAGCTTTTTCAGCCTCATTTAAGGTCCTGCTTTTCCAGTGCTGTAGATACAGATGAGGAGGGAGGTGCATTCCAGCAGAAGAAAAAAAGAGTGTGGTATTAAGATAAGGAGCTTTTCAATATCAGATCCAGAAAGCAAGTGTTGCACATATAGAAATGGGCTTGGCCGATGTCATGTTAGATTGGTTAATTCATCTTTTTGAGGATTGGTGACTGGATTGTGATGGAATACAAAGATGATAATTTAATCTTCTGTGATGGCTTTTAGACAAATATTTCATTTTAAATTGGGCGAATTCCTAAAAATGATCTAAAAGTTAAGCAATCTCGTGAGACAGATTACCTGGTTCGTAGCCTAGCCCTGCTCTTTATCAATAGTGTGACTAAGGAAAGTTTTTGAACCTTCTTGTGTTTTCAGTTTCCTCATCTTTAAATTAAGGATAATAGTAATGCTTACTTCAAAATGTTTTTGTGAAAGGTAAATGAATAAATACATATCAAAATGCTTAGACTCATGGTTGATACTTAATAAACATTTCAAATGTTAATTGATGTTGACAGTAGGGAAGTCCTATTGAATGTTTTGCAAGTTTTTCATCTCTAACATACCAGAGACAGTATCTACTAATTCAAGATAGCATACTAAATACATGTTGTATTCTTCCCATCTTCCACCCCAAATTCCTACAAATGATAGAAAATTGACCAAAAAACGATGGTAGATGGGATAAAAGTGAATTGTGCAAGAAACATTAACTAGAGATCTTAGAAATTTAAAATTTGGTTGTTGACACAAAAATGCAGCAGTAGGACTGAATCCAGAATAGAATAGGTATAGCAGGGAGAAAGATGGCCGCCAGAAATCGTCCCCACAATGACATATAAAAGGATACAAAGACAGAAAATAAGAAAAAAAGTTAAGTGACATAGATGATAGACTCAGCTGTTCCAAAATTCATCCAATAAGAGTTTGAGAAGGAAAGAATAGAAATAATGTAAAGAAATAAAATACTGGACTACCAAATAAGGTTTGCTGATTATGCAGTGCACAACTTCAGGAGCACCATTTAAGTTATAATCTTTGCGAATGATGTTCCTTGCAGTTGTGCAGTGCACAACCTAAGTGGCTATACATGGAAGTCCTGAGGAAATTTTTTAAAAAGACTATTCCACAGAATGTACATACATAGATACATATTTACATAAATCCTCAGACTGCAAGTTCCCATTAAATGCTAAGCATATAAGGATGAACTAAAAGAACCTTCACCTAGAGACATGGTGGTAAATTTCAGAACACAAAAGTTACGGAGAAAATTCTAGAAACACCCAGAGAAAATTCTTACAAAAGAAATAGGAATCAAATTTATATCAGACTTCTCATTTGAGCAGTACTGGATATAAGAGGATACTGAAGCAGTATTTTTTTAAATCTAGGGAAAATACTTTTGAAACTAAATTTCTATATCCAATCAAACTTGTGGGCAACTGCCCTTCCTGAAAGAATTTCTGGAGTTATATTCCAGCAAGATAAAAGATTCTAAGAGGAAGATATGGGATACCAGAAGCAAAGGTGCCCAGTAAAATATATTACTAACTATAATTAAGTTTAGATTCTAAAAAAACTTTAAGTCTTAGAATACTTGGTCTTTATTCATCCAGCTAATTTTATAATGGAATAACTTTATTGAGAAATTAGAAATCAAGTGGTAGGAGAGGGATGAAATAAGTGAATTAGAAAAGGTTCAACTAACAAAGTAATATAAACTTAAAAAGAAATTGGTATAAACTGTAGCGCATGAGGTTACAGACACAGTTGACATTGTTTATGATATCCTGGGCCGTACAAGTAGCATTAGTTTATTGTATTCATCATGTTTGTATTGAAATCTCCCCTCTGTTTTGATTAGTGATTCAAGTTTGGATTTTAAGATTTTGTTTAGGTAACTCTGTGATTACAGACATTTTTTACATTTATGGTCTCTGCTTCACATTTTGTCTATTGTTTGGAAAAAACGAGCTCAAAACTATTAGAGGAACTTCAAATGCAGACATCTTTTGGTGTAGATTCCCCAAAAAAATTTTTTTTAAAACCTGCAGTTCAAATCCAGATGATATTAACATGGGACAAGAGTGAAGACAAATAAAACAAGCTAAGATTTATGTTGTATTCAGGAGGAGAATTACTCTAGAAGTTGTTACAAAAGTATAGGTTTAAATAGATATAAAAATACATACGTATATATGTAAAAGCTGAGTATAATACACTAGAAGAGGGATATTGCACATTCACAAAAGCAGCAGTCCATTAAGGAGAGATCATGAGTGGTTCACACTTAACTCAGGTTTGCACTTAATTCACGTATATACTTACACGAATGTGCACACAAAGATTTTGAATAAAGCAACCATATTGGTGATTAAGTTAACATAGATACACCTTTCTCAGGAACTGATAGATCAAGTCAACTAAAACTTGTTGAGGGTATAGAGGATTTGAAGAACATAGTTAACAAGATTAATCATAACTACACTTGTACCTATTTCATCTTGTATCCAAAATAGAAAAAGTATATTATTTTGAAATTCACATGGAATACTGGTAGAAACTGACCATGTGTGAGATGACAAATGAAAGCTCAATAAGTTTTGAAAAAGCTGACAGCATACAAGACATATTCACTAATCATAATGCAATGAACTAAAAATACTCTCTTTGATTTATACTGTAAGGAAAAGCACATGGATTAAAGAGGGTATCAAAATAAAATTATATAGTCTTTAGAAATAAAAAGAGCACTACATATTAAAACCTATATGAAGAGGTCAGAGGAAAATTTGTAGCCTTAAAATGCATTTATGAGAAAATGAGAACTATTAAAAATAATGAATTAAGCTTTTAACTTGAAAGCTAATAAAGAGGCAACAAAACCTGAGGAACTTAGAAGAAATTAGGACAGAAGCAGAAATCAACAGAATAGATACTTTCCCACTCCCCCAAAATAGAATTAAGCAATAAAACCAAAACCTGGTTCTTTGAAAGAAAATTAAAGGGTTAATCCTTTGGTAAAGAAAAAAACGTACACAGATATCAGCAACATTAGATGTAGAAGACATTAAAATCAATATGTATATTTTGATAGCTGTATTTGCAAATGTAGATAAAATATTTAATTTTCAATACAAATGATCAAAGTTGCCTAAGAAAAGTAGGCTATCTTAATAAAATGTAGCTATAGGAGAAACTGGAAAGATCGGCAAAGATCTTCCCTTAGAAGCAGCACCAGGCCCAGATAGTTTTACCAGACTTTGAGGGGAGAGAAAATATTTATATAAATTGATCAAGATAATGGGAAAGGATGAAAAGCCACCTACTAATATTATGATGCAATGACAGCAAGATATTAGAAGTGAATAACCCCTGCAAGCAAATAAGTGGTATGTAAAAATAATCCATAAAAATGAGATATTAGGGGCCACAATATAGATTTCAAAGTGGAATGAGAGATAATTGGGATAAGAAACTACAATTTAAGGAGTATTATGTGTAGGGTTAAGATTTGGATTCTAGTTTATTGTGCCCAAAGCCCGTGGCATTTTAAGATATGATTGAATTAAAGTTACAAAATGATTATTTTCTAAAATAAATATGGCACTTACAAACCTGTTGTAAATGCCTATTCTCTTTGAGGCTTTTTTCTGCCCTTCCAGAAGAAGTGGGCCTCAAAGTCCCAGCCAGATTCCAAATGATTGCAGTTTCACTGGGGATCATGTTAATGATTTTTCAAAATTAAATTACCTTTCAGAGAGCACATTTGGGGAATTTAGTTTTCCAGAATGTGTCAACCGATTATTTCTAGTGTTTCTTAACAGATTTCCTGCCTCCATGAATTCACATAACATGTTTAGGAATCTCTCCCTTTATTTAACATATACTCCATCTCAAAAAAAAAATTTTTTTTTCTATCCTAAGTCTAAAGGTTAAGGAGTAATATGTGCTTAGTGTGATATGGAGGTGAAAGGGGAAGGCAGGAAGATGAACTTCTTACACTTTAGGGGTTTCAACCCCATCTTTGGAAACAAAACCAAGAAATGAGGAATAAAGGAAGGACAGCAAACAATTTTATTGGCTCCCATTTTATTGCCAGTGTGCAAAGAAGTCTATACCTAAAAGACCTTACCGGGGCCCAGGTTTTCAACATCCTGCTGTCCATTGCCAAACTTAATCTACAGCTCTCTTAAGGTCTTTCAGTTTTTATCCTATTATAGCTATGAGACCTACAATAATCACTTAAGATTCTAAGAATACCATTTACAATAACTCACCAAAATGAAGGATCTAGAAATCAACAAAAAGATGAACAAAACTTCTAGAGAGAAAATTCTGTTGTGAGATATTAATGGCATAAATAATTCATGCTCATGAATTAGAAGTCAATATTGTAATGATGTCAGTATCCCCTCCCCAAAAGAACTGCAGACAATGCAATTCCACTCCAAATCGAATATTCTCAGAATTTGACATACTTGATCACTTTTTCTTGAGACACTTGTTTCTCCTACCTTGTCAGCAATTCCTTCTCAACATCCTTTGCTGCCAACTCTTCTACATAATCTTTAAGATTTGTCATGTCCCAGGATTCATTCAGCCTTAGACCTTTTTCTCTTTTCTATCTGTACTTTCCATTTATTGTACATTGTCTCTTCTGGTCCTATGGTTCTGAATACGATATACTCTCTAGTCCAGGATTCTTCCCTGAGCGCCACTCAAATATCCACAGCTTTTTCAACAGTTACACTTAAATGTCAAATAGGAATCTTATATGTCCAATACAAAACTTTCGTTTCTTGCTATCCTCTTCCCTGCTCCACCAACTTGCTGTTTCTAAGCTCTGTCAGTGGAATCAGTTTATTGCTCAGACCCCAATTCTAGGTGTGTGTTTGTTCCTGATTCCTCTTTCCCACGTTCCTTACATCGACTCAATCAGCAAGCTTTCTTGGCATTTCCTACAAAATACATCCCAAATGTGACCACTTCTCAACACCTCCACTACTAACTACCATGTTAGTGAAAGCTACCATTATCTCACCTGGATTCCTGTTTTCCTTGCTTCCCCTGTTGTCCCCTTATTGCCTCTGGAGTCTGCAACTAAGCCTGGTGGCAGTGAGGGCTGTCAAACCCCTTCCAGCCAGTTGCTTGGAATTGCACGGTAGGTCTGGGCGTCTTTGTCTCCTCAGCAGGAAAATGCCTAAGTCCAGAAGGCACTAGGGTTTCTCCCAAGTGAATGTGGGAGCCAGAAAAGACCCAGAATGGACCTAACTCTTCCTCTTTTACCCCAAACCAGTCAGTCCACTTGGGGGATTCCTTCTCAGGGTAGGAACCCCCAGTGTTCTGAATGGGCTGTGACTCTTGTAGAAGCTCCTGTGGTCCTAGAACGAGTTGTAGGGCTCTCCCTAGGGAGCCTGGAAGGTGAGGAACTCCCCCCGCCCCCCACTGACCCACCCTCCTCACAACCAGTTGCCTGTTCTCCATTACTATCTACTCTGGGGTGTGGTGCTTAGGTTTGGGAAACCTGGGGAATCACAGGGTGGGCCCTGGGTATTGTCCCCGCTGAGTCTGGAGACAAAAGAACACCCTCCCTCCCCAAACTCACCCACCCATCCTCGTCCTCACTAGCTGCATCAGTTCCCTCCAGGGCCTTGTTCTCAGTCCTGGAAACGCTTTTGTCATCCAGGATATAACAGGCCTTGGGCCCGAGAGCGAAGCCCCGTGGTTCCTCCAATGCATTTCAGAGCAGCCCTTGAAGAGCCTGCAGGTTCCCTGCCCGGCGGCCTGCCGCTTCCTGGCTCTGGTGGTGGTGGAACCAGCTGGGAGGTGGTCTGTGCTTGACTGGACGGCTGTCTCGCACTCTTCACCTGCTGCCGCCTCCTCCTCCCTCCGCCTCGTTCCTAGGTTTCTCCCCCACGGCCCGCACTCCTCCCCTTTATGTGGTCGCCGGCGCGGGGTTCGGCCACGGCCCCAGCGGAGCGCTCAGCCCGGCGCGCTCTGCGTCTCCCAGCAGCCCCTGCGCGAGGCGGCGGCCGAGGCTGCAACGTCTACAGGCGGCCGCGGGGTGGCGCCGCCGCCGGATCGGCGAGCGGGCCGGTCGGCCCCGGCCTAAGGAGTGGTTTTGCGGTTCCGGGAGGCCGTGGCCATCGCCTTTGGCTTCCCGCGATGCTCCCTGCAGCTGCCGACACGGACCCAGTACGGAGCCGGCTTCTCACACCTGCCGGCCCCGAGTAAACAATTATGGCGAGATTTGGGGGGCCGCCCACGACTGCTGATGCCGACGACGCACTCTGGCGCTCCTTTCTTGCCCCTACTGTCTTGGGAGAAGCAAAATTTTCTCATGGAGTTTTGGGAGAAGTGGAAAGCGTGCCTCCGCCAGCGTCGCGCAGCTGGGTCCCCACGCACGCGCGGCGGCGGCCTCCGTGGCGAGCTCAGGTCGCAGTGTGCACAAGGCGCCACAGCGTGGCGCCCGGGGCCTCTGCGGGACTCGTTGGGAGCACGCCGCCGCTGCCTGTCCGAGAGCTACCGCAGCGGCCTGCCCGTCTCGGAGCCCCGTTCCAGCCACTAGTTAAGTGTGGAGCTAAAAAAATGTTTTAATGACCTTGTTAAGTGGCTGATTTTCAATAGAATCTACTAACACATCCCAGTTAGGAAGAGAGAAATGACTTACGAGTGACAGCAAGCAGATTTGCAACCAAGTAAAAAATGAATAACTGGATTTACAGTATCCAGTACCTTTTTTTTTTTTTTTGGTAAAAATTAAACAATTTTGTCTAAATTATTCGAGAAAATGTAAATCACCAATTTACCTTCAATATACATATTCCTTTTACGTGAAGATGTACCCTAGCCTATTCTGATATAGCCAAATTCACAGATGAATAGATCAGCTGTGCATGAGTTTGTTGCCTGGATGAGATAATGTGCGTTCTTACTTACACTCTCTTTGCCTTGCCCTCATGAGATTCTTCCACAGGAGCCAAGCACTTTCTGATGATACCCATGAGTATGAGAGAAAGATACAAAAACTTACTTCTGGTGTATAGTGCCTTTGTCTCTTTGGTATACCCAGATTTTTTTTTTAATCCCCAGGGCAATGTATCATACTTTGGGAAGAGTGAGAGATATGCCATTTTTTTGAAAACTGGGAAAGGGATGGGTGGGAAAGAGTAGGTGGAAAAGAATCAGCTTCAGACATTTACAGCAGGCATGTGCTTAGCACAATATAATGAAAGAGTGCATTTGGAGGTTGACAATTGGGAGTTTGATTCCCTTAAACTATCACTGCCAATGTATCCATTAGAATAGCTATATAGTATATCCCTATTGGCCCACACACTCCAAGAGGACACTTATGGCAGTGAATGAAGCAATCCATATGTGTCACAATAGGGAGTGGTGGTAACATTGCAGAATAAAATGCTGCGTGGTCCTTTTTTCACCATGATTAAAATCCTGTTGACCCATTTCTTGATTTCTGCAATTAAAATGAGCAGATTTGCGTTTTGCTTCTAATGCTAACCAGGGCAATTCCAAACCCTGAACTTAAAATGCAAGCCTTCGTCATTCATAGAAGATCGAAACACATGATGTTCCCTCTCTGTTACAGCTAGAGGGAGAGAGAACATTTTACATCATAAACCAGCTCAAAAAAATCAGACTTGAGAAGGCATCAAACAAAGAACATTCACAGGAACATCAAGCTTATTCTCCTGTTTTATTGTTACCAACTTGTTTCGTTCTGTTAAATATGTCCCTAGAAGTGTTATTTGAACAAACAGGTCTTATAAGACTCCAAAGACTTTATAAATTGTTGCAGACACCAGGACAGAGTTAAGGGTGCAAGATGTTTACTAGGGATGAAACAATGAAAGAGTGAGGAAATAGGATTGGGCTGAGGAAGACAACGGCTACAGTGAAAGCCTGAAAAAGCCTTGATCAACTCACCAAGTAGCTCTGGAGCAAATATGGTTCACAACCATGTCCTGCTTTGGGCTGAAATGACCTGTTCTGTTCAGGCACGAGGTGCAGGTAGGGTGTGACTTTAGGGGAGGCAGCTGAAGCAGACCCTGGGAGCTAACAGCTGGAGAGTGTCTGCTGAATACATTTCTTGTGGTGGTCATCAAGCCCTTTCTTGAAAAAGGATTTGGACAGCACATCTTCATGTCCACCATTGTCCACCCCTATGCCTGGATCCACTGGACCACATAAGCTTGGGGAGCACCTTGTCCAGAATTCTACTGGGCTTTCTTCCTGAGGGACAATATAGAAGAGTGAAGATGGGACAGATTTACAGCTCCCATGGCTGCATTTGGACTCAGGGCCACAATTGCTACATACTGTCTCAGAGGCTAACCTGATGGCATGACCCTGGTTTTCATTCCTGAGGGTCCTGAGAATCTGGTCACTAAACACTTCTAAGCCTGCAGCTTCTATACCTGTCTATTGAAAGTCACAATTGGGCAAGGGAGTAATAAGAGGCATCCAAGTGGGTTACCCGAGTTCCACACCCATTCCTCCCGACCCCCATTGTGCAGTAGGAGCTTTGTCTCCTTCTGCCGATTAGGATCAATCATCCCTGTCAAGACAATGACCCCTCTTCCTCTTCTTGCCAACTGTTCTCTAGACACCACAGGCAGCCCGGAGTACCCAGGCATCAGCTGTGACCCCATGGGATTCATGCTGTGTCCCAGGTGAAAGTTTGCCGTCTTTGGGGACTAGGGCCTCTAACCCTGCAGAGCCCAGAGTTGTAGGATTGGGTTGCGCAAAGCCCTCCACTGGGTCATCAGGGGCAACAGTAAGTGGAATTACTCTTCTACTTCTTGGTTCCTGGATGCATATATTCTTCCTACTGGGGACACGGTGAATATATGGCATTCTGGAGAATGGCATCTCAGTTGTCTCTTCCAGTTGTTCCTTCAGCAGGTTGTCCAGCTCTCTACGAGGCAAGTCAGCAGCTTCTGGGGGGTATAGTATGTGATCTGACAGTGGGTCCTGGGGCCATGGCCCACTCCTGCACTTTCTTCAGTGTGAAGTTGGTGGTCTGGTGAGGTACTATGCGGTGCAGGAGTCCATGCCTGAGGATGGAGAGTGGGGAGGGAGGAAGCACTTTCTGATGCTTTAAGCAATGACTGGCTCCATTCCACCCCAGGTCATTAGTGCTCTGTCTGTATCCCGTCTGGCCCCCATGTTCTGCCTCAGGGAGCCCTTGAAATGCTCCACCTTGTGAGGGTGGCAGAGCTCTCTCCACCAAGTGTGAATGTCACTTCCTGCTTCAGTTCCCATCCTCAGGCTAGAGTCTTCTCTGGACGGACCTTTTCAAAGTCCCACTGGGCCTCTTTCCCTGCAGTTCTCATTCTCCCGTTTTCCTAGTCCACAAAACCAAACGTGAAGTGCAATCCATGCAGCTCCTGCCATTCCTGAGTCTGTGTCCTTTCATACAAATGTTGGAGTTGTTGTGCTTCTATTGAAATGGTAATTATTGTACGTTTTTTCAGAAGGGGAGCAGGAGAAGGGCATTCTCCCTGTCCATAGACGCTTCCATCTATTTTAAGGCCAAGATGCTTGAGGTTGCTTCTAAGTGGTGAGTGTTGAAAGTAAGCCCTAACATGTGGAGCCACAACACAGGCTAGGCAAGGAATGTGTCCTTGTTTGGCAGATAAGCTACTTTTTTTTTTTTAAATCAAGTAATCTCGAATTAATGTTGCTAGGTTTGTTTATACCATTTTCATTTTTTTTTTAAGCTTTAGTCAAGTCGCATTCACATATTTCAGTTTTCCTTCAGCTGTCTTGTGGAATACCAGGGAAATATATTGTCTCCAAACTGGAGCCCAAGTGGGAGAGAAGTGTATCTTGAAGCTAGTTTGTAGTCATCCAGAAAATCAGAAAGGCAAAGCAAATCTGGAATTACGAGCTGGGGCTTTATGACATCATGTCCCCTCCACACTTGACGCTTCTCCTTGCAATGCCATGCTGGGAGATCTGGGTTTAATTTACTAAGGAAAGCAACAGTGGCATTCTGCCTTTACACAGGGCAGGGGACTGGGACAGACAAACAGGACCCTTGGTGTCTCTGGATACAGAGAGAGGATGAGAAAGCTTCAAATGAAAGGACAAAAATAATGCGTCCATTTTTTATTGTGAGCTTCTCCCTTGTATCTCTGAAAAATGTATGGACACTTCCCTTACTGGTGTACTCAAGGAGAAAAGCCGTGAAGTAACTAACCATCCTCAGCACCACACAGGTGTGAGCTCTCATTCTCAAAGTCTCTTAGAAGTCATTTGTAAGTTACATTTCTTACGTTCTGCTCTGTACTATTCCCTCTTAGCCTCTCTTTCTCTCTCTCATTCTGTCTCTCTCCCTCTTAATCTCTTGCACATATGCACACACCTACCTTTTCACCCTGTCCCCAGAATTACATTATTGCTCAAACTACCAAATAGGATAATCAGGTTAGACTTGATTTCCAAGTTTCTAAAGTTTGGCTTTAGAATGCTCATATCAAATCACCCCTAATTATTAAATTTCCAAGTTTACCTCCATTGAAGTCAACTCATTAAAATTTGCTTTATTTAAGAGTTAATCAAATGTCATGGCACTCACAGTTCCAGCATCTTTCAACTTTTGGATGTTTGTGCCCCAAGACTTAACATAGAAAGGAAGGGGGATGGGGTCTGTCTAGACCGGTGGGCACCCACTGAGATGCTGCCCTTCCTCCTAGGGCTTCTGCTGTGTTTTTTCTTGCAGCTGTTTTTGTTCTTGACATTTCAGTTCCTCTTGTAAATGTCCATCTTTTTTAATGTAGTTCCTTCTTCTCATGACCATAGTCCAAAGGGATTTCTAAATTCCACGTTTTCTGTTTTTGAAGCTTCTTATGTATTATCACACACAAAACAGTGTTCACCAAAAATATGATTCCCATGGCCACATAGAAAAGGACATGAAACCAGGCAGGAGTCTGGTTTGGGGCCAGAAGACCTGAAAAAGAAAATGACAAAGAGAAGATGTGCTTTTTAGAAACCAGAGGGATATGACAGTTATGTTTGGAAGAGAAGGTTGGCTGAGACCTGATCCACCCATTCTCAGTGGAGACACTGTAATTTCAGGGTGCGGGGAGGAGTCGGAGGGGGCTCCAGCTGAGCTATGTGGCGCGTGGACAAGGGGCAGGCTCCTCATAAGAGCTTAACTGCCAAGGCCCTGTCAGGAGACTTACTCCCCAGTTTCAGAGACAACTGCTATTTTGATGCCATTTAATGCTTAAAATGAATCTGGGTTGAAGATAAACTTTTTTCCCAAAGGGTTTTTGTTTTGGAGCTCACAATCTCTCTACCTCAGCTAGATATAGACACTTAGGCAGGTACTTATGTGCAATCCACAAAATCCCCATCACACCAATCTACCATGTGAGTTCCTTGAAATAGGAGCTGCACCCTAGTGTCTATATATCCCAATACCTGTGACAATAGATGGGAGGAACGCAATATATTGTTCATTAGATTGCTGGGGAGTGAGAAGGGGAGAGGGAGGGGGTGAATGAAGGAGAGAGGGGGAAGGAGAGAGAATAGAAAATATAGAAGAAAAAAAGAAGGAAGGACAAAAGGAAGGAAATAGAGGAAGGAAAAGGAAATGTAATGATGTTTTTGTGGAAAATTGTAAAGTTTTGAATCAAGAGTGGAAAGGCCTGTTCATAGCTTTTTCCTGGCTGGGCCATGAAACCCCCTGGAACAGACCTCAGTCCCACAAGAGAAAAGGGGGCAACTACTCTTGTGCCAGTCAGTTCCCATCATTCTCACTCACCAAGCATTTGAAGCTTCAACTCAGGGCTGTGCTTGATGACATTTCCATCTTCCGTGAATGCCTCACACCAGTATAACCCAGAATCTTCTCTCTTAGCAGTGAGTATCTGGTATTCAGAAGATGTGCTTCTATTCATCAGGGTCTTATTGCCCACGTAGAAGGAGAAGTAGAGCTGTACACCAGGGCTCTGTGAGAGCAGCTTGGTTTCACAGCTCAGGTTGACCAGAGTCCCCTCTAGGAGAGGGAATGTAGGGGATACTTTCAGCAATGGGACTGGAAATAGCTCTAAAAAAAAAAAAGTTGACAGTTGCCTGCTTCAGAGTCAAGGTTCTTTCTGCAGAAGATATACCCTCTCCCCCCTGCCTCCCACTTCGGGAACCTGCCCCTAGAGAATGCATTCCATAAAACATAATTTTCCCCACTTCCAGCAGACAGATATTCTTGGAGTTTCCTCAGAAGACCTGATTATCGTGTGGCTTTCAGTAAGGCAGTTTACCTCCCTGGAGCCCAGTTTCTTCACTTGCAAGTCAAAACAGTGATTTCTGATGGTTCTGCTGGTGCTTCAAACTACAGGTCTATGACTATTCAGATACAATACCTTTTACAGTGATAGATATTCCTGCTGAACTGAAGTGATTTTTTTGCCGGCTTGAGCAGTGATAGATGCCATTGTGACTCAGGTTGGTTCTCAGAATGGTGACTTTAGAATCCCAAGAAGAAAACTTAAAGCTCTTGCCATTTTGGTAGAAAACCACATTATACACCAGCATATTATTCCATCCATGACACCTCAAGGCCAGAGGTTTCCCTTCGGTCAAGACTCTGCTAGAAACCTGGAGTAGTAGCCAATCTGGAAAATATGGACCCAAAATGTAGGTAATATAGTGGCAGAGGTACAAGGAGGCCAAAGCTGAACTCTTGGGGCTTTATCTTTTTCTCCTTATCACATTCCAACCTGTAGCTCTGCGGAACCTGAGGCCTGTCCCCCATTCCTCAAATATCTTTAGCTTTCCTGAGAAGAAAAGTAATCTTTACCACCAGCCATGTACACAGACTGAACTTCCAGCCTCCTGCACTGTGTTCCTGCCAGCCGAACCACCCTTATATAGAAGTTCCTGGAATTCTTTCAACCAATGGATGGCCTGAGATCTGCCCTGTCCAATTGGAAGTGCACAGCTATGTGCTCATTTGCATCTTTACTGACTAATCAGAGCCGCTCCATAATGACCATTCAGGACGAATGACTCTGACCAATCAGGACAGTGCTATATGGACCAATCAGACTATAAATTTGGATTCCACATTTGCATAGAAATGACCAATCAGGGACCAGAGTGAGAACTTTATAAAAATGGGCCTCCCCTTTGTCTCAGGGGAGCACATTTTCAGTGTCCTCTGGAGGGTGCGTCTTATCCTATTTGCAAACTATTGTCTGAATAAAGTTTATCTTTTTATTGCACTCCAGATTGGGGACTCCTGTTGGGATTGGATTGGTGGCAGCACACTTTTGTTGACATAATGTAATAATGTCACATATAATATAATGTTGAAAATAATGTGTGAGATATTATTCTTAATAAGTCACCAATGCTAGGGGTTCTAGAGACAAAGAAAATGACATCTTTCCAGCCGTAGTTCAATTTTTGCCATTTGAACCATGAAGCACTTATGCTGGAATTACATCAAGTCTCTTGTTAAAACAGTTCTGTCAGCTCCCCTCACTTCTCTAGCACAGGAACTGATTCCCGGAGTCCTAAGAAACGCATGAGAAACATGTAGCATTTCCTCTGACATTCTCAACAAGTCCTTCAGCTAAAACACATTTCCTCCAAAAACAACCTAGTGGACATAAATTTAATTCTGCCTCCAGCATGGATTAACTTTTGCATTTAGGATTACACAGCAGTTTAATTTGTTGCTTTCAAATAACTAAATAACCATTTGAATGATTTGTCCTGCATAATGAAACATTTTGCCCTAAAGAGTAGTTTCCATCTCTTGATAAGTAGAAACCTCTTGCAGATTTAAACGGGTGGTGGGGTTTTTTTCTGCTTCTATTCATCAAAGTTTAAAATGCTTCAAGTCTCACAGTAATTCCATGTACAGAATATTATCATACAAATATACTGTGAAATGCATCCCAGATGATATGTATAAAGATGTTTATTGCAGCATTGCTTATAAAAGCAAAGAATGTGAACACACTATACATTTACTAATAGAGAGAACAGTTAAATCAATTACTACACAGCCATACGGCAGACATTTGAAAGTTCAAGGTAGATTTCGATTGATATAAACAGACCACCAAGGTATTTTCAGTATTAAAAAAAGAAGTTTATGTTATTAACAGTTTTGTTTTTTGGCAGGTGACTGTGAGACTAGGGGGTTGGGGTGGGAAAGAGACTATTGCTCATCATTGCACATTTCTCCAAATTAGTATTATTAACTATGGGCAGGCATAGCTTTTTTCAACAAAACCTGATATTTTGAATAATGATAATATCTTAGGGTCTGAGTTTTATTCTAGAGACCCTACTCATAGCTACTCCAGTTGGGGTGCTTAGGGGGCACAGTTTAAGGATTCTAATGTGATGTTTTGAGTATCTTGACTTAATTTCACTTGGTAGACATATAGAGCTGAGACTCATAGATAAATCAACACAGACACATCTGCCATCCAGAAAGGAGACAATACACAGAAAGACCTTGTGATTTCCAGCCCTCCTGCTCCATGCCATGCTTACCTTTGTGGATTTCCAGCTGTACCGGATCACTTGGCACTGAGAGACCTGTCTGGCACGTGTATTCACCATTATCCTTGACACTAGCAGCAGTGATGTTGTAGCTGGGAGCCAAAGTATGAATGGCTGTGCCATTGAGAAACCACTGTGTAGAGCTGTCCCCAGGCCGGCTGGGTCCTTCACACCATAAGGTTACACTTTCCATTTGGAATACATTAACCCATGGAGGTTGCAAGGTGATCACTGCTTTTGTGGGGTCTGCTTTGTTGGGAATGGATGAAAACAAAAACAAGTGGATTAAAAAGGAAGGATCTGAGCAATTGGTAAGGTTTTGTGGATAGCACAAGCGGGGGAAATGTATATTTAGATTAGATTTAAATATAGGCAAGTGAGAACCTACAAAAGCCAGCCATTAAGAATGTCCACGGCTGGCCTAGTGGCTCAGTTGGTTAAGAGTTGGCTTAAGAGCATGAGCTCTGAGCAACAGAGCCACTGGTTCGATTCCCACATGGGCCAGTGACGCTGTGCCCGAGCTGCCAACAGGTGGCAGGATGTAACAATAAGACTGCCTGTTCAATAGTGGGCTATGCTCATGCAACTAAGACTGAACTCAGCACCTTGAGCTGAGCTGCCACCCGGATGGCTCAGTGGATAGAGCGTGCTCTCTTAACAACAAGGCTGCTGGTTAGACTCCCACATGGGATGGTGGCTACGCCCACCCGCAACTAAGATTGAACACAGCACCTTGAGCTTAGAGGCCACGTGCTGACGGGAAGCCAGATGGCGACTGTTGCCCTCCACAACGAAGATTGAAGAACAACAATTTGGCCGGTTCCCTTCCCCAATTCTCCAACACTGTTCTCCTCCCCCAATTTCCCAATAAAATCTTTTTTAAAAAAAGAATGTCCATACCTTACTGCAGAGAGCTGTTCATGTTATTACAAACAGGTGTTAGGGTTTTGGGTTCCTGAGAATTAAATGACCAATTTAGTTCTCACTGTTGGTAAGCAATGAAGCAGGGTTTTAACCTGGGGCAAATAGATTGCAGGTGATTTTCTTATCCTCTGTGCTATCCTAACTCTGAGGGCTAATCTCTGGCCTTAATTAGCATCTGCATTGGCAATCAATGTCCAAACTCCTCACTTCGAAGCTTTCAGTACCTGCTTGATTCTCTCTGAGGAGAAAAGAAATACTCAGCTTTCTTCTAAAGGGGACTAGTTTGGGGGATGTTGGAAAAGCCTTAGAACTATTTCTGTGTGTTTGCATTTCTGGCCCTTTCCTGCTATTTTACATACACACACACACACACACACACACACACACACACACACACACACACACACACACACACAGGTCTGACAATTAAGTTCACGAACTTGTCCTAGAAAAAGTGCTACATACCTCATTGCTGAATATCACTAAGGTTATCTTCAAAGTACTCCCCTTGGGAATCTATGCACTGATGCCAGCACCTAGTCCACCCTTCAAAGCAATTTTGGAACTCTTTTTCTGGAATGGCCATCAGAGCGGTCGTCCGTATTACCCTTGATGTCCTGAATGTAATCAAAATGTCTTCCTTTCAATATATCCTTTATCTTCAGGTAAAGAAAGAAGTCATTGGGGGCCAGATCAGGTGAGTAGGGAGGGTGCTCCAATACAGTTGTCTACTGGTTAAAAACTCCTTCCCTAACCTACTGATTAAAAGCTCCCTCATGTGAGCTGGTGCATTGTCGTGATGCAAGAGCCATGAATTGGAGAAAAGTTCAGGTCTTCTAACTTTTTTTTTTTTTTTTTTTAAGAATCAGATAGGAGCAATCAGGGTGTTGCAAGTCCTGATTACTCAGAGCTGTTAATCAGGAGTCATGCAAACTCCAATCATCACGTTCTAATCTGCCCTCCAAAAGGAGGAACAGGTAAGGATTATCCTACCTGACAATCGTCTTTTTCACACAGCCTTTTCAACACTTCCAAATAGTAAATGTGGTTAACTGTTTGTCCAGTTGGTACAAATTTGTAACACATAATCCCTCTGATACCAAAAAAGGTTAACAACATCGTTGCAACAAAGTTCATGAACTTAATTGTCAGACCTCGTGCGTGCGTGCGTGCGTGTGTGTGTGTGTGTGTGTGTGTGTGTGTGTGTACACATTTAGTCCAGAGGTCAGGAATCATTTAGGAAATCATGGAGAGAAACTTTAAAAATCAGGATTTTATCAAAATCATACTCTGAATGTAAATACTTTACATAATTTGTAAATCTTTCTCCTTTCTATCCTCTCCCCATATTCTCTTCTTCAGGATAATAGAACCTATCTTTTGAAAGCAGGAATGTGCCAGAGGAAGACAAGTTGAGTTAGACATTACTCACCCATTTGCCCTCCAACGGGAACTGTAAGAGACCAAACAATAGAGACATTATTAGTTCATCAGTAGGAGACGACAAGGAAGCAAGAATTAGGGAGACAAAATTAATATAGACTCTGAAGGACCAGCTTAAGTCTCTTTAGTTTCTCTCTACCCCCCTTTCCCAAAATCAGGTACCAGTGATTCCTAATAGCCTACAGATGGTTATTGATGGGACTTTATTTTGACATGATGCTTCCAGGCTGATGGTCTCCTTTCTCAGAGTCTGCTTTCCCATCCTTTTACTGTAATAAACACTAATAAACCATGGAAGCACAGATACAGTTGTCTCCATACTCATGAGTTCTAGCCTAGGATACTAAAGGAAGACAAAACATCCTGAGTCCCCATAGCCAGTGCCTATACCCTTCTAGTTACCCCCTTGAAACCCAACTTACCCCAAAGGAGCAGAGCTGTCAAGAGCCACATATTTTCTCCAAGCTGATGGGAACAGTGAAACACAAGACATTGAAGAGATTCTGCTGGGGGTGTCTGAAGCCAAGTTAGAAAAGAGGAAGGAAATTGCCTCTTCTGACCATTTTTATCGTGTTCCTTTTCTGTAAAATACATCCCTAATTCCTGTAGCATACACTCCCAATTCTTAGCCCCTCCCCCCCTCCCCCCAGTTTGAAACTTTCGGTATGAGGCTTATGAAACTGTAAGAATCTAAGGGAAGGGCTAATGTTTTATTGACAGTCTATTCTGATTACATTCCTCTCTACAAATTATGTTGCTTGGGGCTAGAATATGGCAAATCCCCTTTTTAAAAATTGGTTCCAAGCCTGGCTAATCCTGCCAAGATTTGATCATTTGAATCCAGATTTTTCTACATCAGCCCTTATGAGACATGCAAGGAGCTACTCATCTACAAGAGCTTCCCTGCTACAAACTAGTCTCTACTCTTCTAGGAATACATGCAACATCAATTTCCCATTTTCATTAAAAAAAAAATCCATCTTCCTGAAACACATTATGAGTTTGGGGTGTTTAATCTTGGTTACATTCAAGGAAATAAAATATTTACTGTAAATGCTGTAGTAAAGGCAAATAACTCATAAGTGTGAGTGGAAATACCCAGGAGAAGGGAGTTTCAGAGTGTAAGTGGTCTATGCTACCAAAATGAGTTTCTTCCTGGGGCAGAGTTGTTGAGATATAAAAAGATTTTTTTAGGTATTCTGTTAAGAGAGAAAGAAAACAAAACAGAAACAAAGATGAGTTGAGAGAGTGCAAGAGGGACTTGTGTAGCAATTTCACTGACAGAATTTAAAATGATGAGAAATAATGTTGTAGATTGAATTGTTGGCCCCAATGTCTCACCCTACCCTACACTATCTGTATAGCCTCATGAGAGGCTGAGGGTACTTCTCTGACCCTAGGCTTCGGCTCATCCACGTGACTTTCATTGGCCAATGAAATATGGATGGAAACCTCATGGTGCTAAGTTTGAACCTAGACTTTAGGAAGCTTTATTTTCTCTCACCCTCTTGTGTTTCTGTGATTGTCATGACAAGAACATGCTCTGGCTAGGCAGCGAGGTGGTGAGGCAGAGCTGTCCTAGCCATCATAGCCTGAAGTAAAGCTGCCCGGCTGCCCTGAAAGTGAGAAATGAACGCTTACTGCTGTATGCCACTGAGACTTCAAGATTATTATAGAGCAATAGCTGACTGATACAAAGCAAGGAAGAAAAGTCTAGGAAGAGCTCAGGATATTCTGAGAGAGACAGAAGAAACCTCAGCTCCTTGAAATATACATTCAAAGCCTGTATGCATCACTATTCCACTATTTTGTGTTCAGACTTTTCCACTGCATGGATATACCATAATTTATTTCTTTAGATTGGATGTACCAATCTTTCTTCATGGACAGGTAGGTCATTTCTAATGTGTTACTGTTATGACCAGCACTGCAATGAATAGTCTTGTACCTATCTTCAAACACTTGACTTATGATTCCTGTAAGACACAGTCTTAGAATCAGCATTGCTCAGTCAAAGGAAATGGACATTTTTTCCTTGGATGGATGCTGTCAGATGTCTGTTGTCATCATCATCATCACTAAATATATCTGTAGAGTGTTTATTATGTGCCAGGCAAATATGCTCGATATGTAGTTTCTCATTTAATCCTCACAATAAGCTATGAGTAGACACTCTTGTGCCTAGTCCATTTTACAAATGAGGAAACCAGTCAAGAGAAATTTGGTAACTGGGCCAAAGTTATAAAAAGCAGAAGCAGACAGTTTGATTTCCTTTATACCCAAAACCAGACAGTTTGATTTCTTTTACACTCTCACAAATAGAGTATAACAGTACCCACCCCATCTTTTACAATTTCTGCTTTGTAGTAAAATAGCTGTTGTTTGAAAAATGACTAAATATTTTTCTGTGACCAGGAAAAGATGGAGGAATGAGTACTGCTGTGGAAGAGGAATAGAAGAGATTCATGACCTGGAAGGAAATCTTTTTTCTCTGATAAGTTTCCAAATGTGGAGGAAATAGTCAATGAGGTAGGATTGAATCCATGTAAAAAACTAGATCATGGAACAAACATTGTAACTAAGGCAGACTAGTATGTAACTAAGTATGTAACTAAGGCAGTATTTAATGGTCAATGAAAATCATGATACTCATAAGGACCATTAGAATTTACATCTATATGTGACATTTATATTTCCATATATTGATGATATTTTACAATACCATCATACTCATAGGATTCATAGATTTAAAATCACTTCACACATACACTTTTCTCAAAGGTAGATGCACAGTCTTGTTTGCCTATTTTAACTAAAATTGTTCTCTTCATACAATAGAAAATAATTTGTAATTATTTATTTATATGTATTATTAATTATATGTATCTATAGAAAATATATACAAGTACTTGATATATTTTTTTAAAGGTAAGATCATTTAAATCTCAGAAAGAATTGACCACAATTTTATTTTATTTTTGTATTCATTAAAAGTACAAATCAGTCAGTAATCCCTTATTCCCTACTCACCCCTTCTTTAACAACCATATATTTTAGAAACGATTGAAATGTGTCAACTAAATTTAGGTCAGTAATTGTACAGAGTTGTCTACAGCACAATTTTGCTTAAAAGATTTTGTATGCTATAGAGCATCTCTTGAACAGCTGCAATATACTACCGTTATATACTTGCTAATACTGGAAGTGTTTTGCAGGAGACTCAGATAAACTTTACCTGATGTTTTTCTTCAACTACCATTCATTATAAAAAGTCTCCCACTTGCTCAACTTCAAATTTCCATTAGAAATTCAACTTATTTTTTAAAAATGGTAACAACACAAATTTATTATTTTACAGTTCTGTAGATCAGAAGTGTACAATAGGTTTCACTGGGCTAAAATCAAGGTGTCAGCAGGACTGGGTTCCCTTCTGGAGGCTCTTGGGAGAATCCATATCTTGACTTTTCCAGCTTTTTGAGGCCACCTACATTCCTTCGGCCATGACTTCCTTCCATTTTCAAAGCCAGCAATGGCCAGGTGAGTCTTTCTCCCAATGCCATCTTTCTGGTTCTTATTTTTTATTCTTATTCTTACTACTTGATCTATCAAATCTTTCCTTGGTTCCTGCATCCTCAAAGTGATTCCATCAACTTTTAAAATTTTTATCTTTGTCTACAACTTTGTTTTTATCATCTAGTCGTTACAGTTAATTTTTTGATGATGTTAGAATTTGTCTTTTATAGATTGTTTCAATTTGGGATAGCCTTTGTCCATTTCCCTTTCCCCTCACCCCACTTTTTTGGTCCTCATGAGCAGATTCATCAAGCCCTCTGTCTAATTTTCCTGTGTGCCCTTGAGATTTCTTCGTAAGCTTTTTTGATCAAATCATTATAAAACTGTCTGCTTTTACACACATTTTCCATCATTCCCAAAATTACTGCATTTTGATTTTGTTCCTGCACCACAGCAGCAGAGCTCTGGTCAGGTTGAAAAGGTTAGAGGGGAAGTAGAGAGGGGTTAAAACATTTATGTGGTTTGTGTTTCTAAAAATAGCTATTATCTGGAACCTGAACTCTGCCCATGAACCCCTCCCCTAACTTTTAACTGATAGTGTGAGTCAACATTATTCAGAAAGGCCCTCACCTTGTACTATAAGTGGAGGAGGCCACACTGGTTTGTTGGATCATAGGGTATGAAATCTCCTACCCTTTCCTGATCCCCAAACTAGCTTCAATTCCCTCAACCATCTTGGTGTGTCAGCACAACACGTTCAGTCATGGGGACATGGGGGATAGGAGAGGGTTGTTCAAGATGGGGATTTGTGACTAGAAGGAGTAGAGGGGTCAGGAAGGTCGGGGAGGTAGGAAGTGGGCCACAAACTCTTCATACTTCTTTCGCCCTTATTCTCTCCCAGGGGGAGAAGAAAAATCTTTATTTCTTATCAGAACTTTAAAAGAGTTATGCAAGAGTGCCTTTCTAGTTGCCAAGTAGGATGCTGCCCATTCATGAATCACTAAATAAAGCTAATTAGATCTTCAAAAAAAAAAAGTTATGCAATATTTTATAGAAATGAAAGAATGTGTAATACATATGTGTATATGGTTCTGAGGCACAATAAGCAAATGAACACTTAAGAACACACCACTCAAATTATAAACTAAAATATTTTTAATAACACACCAGATTTCTAGCCAAGATGAAGTAGCAGAGATTGGATTTATTTTTCTCATTTTGACAACAAAATGAAAAAAAAATTAAATAATGGTTTTCAAAACAGTGGTCATTAGGCAATAAAGTAGTCATCCCCGAGGGACGGGAAAGAAAACATATGAGCCTATGATTCCCCAGCTCACTGCATGGACTGGGTCTCCAGGCTGTGGTGCAGGGAGGGGGGACTCATGCACAGCCCAGTGGAGTCCCTAAGTTGAGAAGATGGAATGAGAGTCTGGCGAGACCAAGGTGGCTAGGAAAAGGAGAAAGCTGCACAGAGACTTTCTGAGATCCGCAGGGAATTCCCAAGTATTCAGCAGAGCAGTGATCAGTTATGTGTATGAAAAAAAAATCAGGCCTGGGAAAGAACCATTTGAAAGGATTAGATGAAATGGCACTCAGTCCTTACACAGGGCTGGAAATAGTGCCAATTCCCAATAGCCAGAAAGAACATCGTAGTTCATTAGGCATGTGACAGACTACTCAGAGGAGTCATATCTCAGTTAAGCTGAGTCATGGAAGATATAAAAAGACTAAAATCTGACTTCTGGAAATGAAAACTGATACACTGGATGGGATTAAGAGCAGATTAGATAGAGTTGAAAAAAAGATTAGTGAATATGAAAACATCATGGCATTAGAACCTATCCAAAATGAAAAAGAATGAAAAAGAAAATGAAACCAGGACCAGTGAAGTATGGGACAACTTTCAGCATCCTAATACATGTGTAATTGGAGTCCCTGAAAAAAAAAGAGGGTGGGTTGTGGACAGAAAATATATTTGAAGAAATAATAGCCAAAATTTTTCCAAACTTGATGGAAACTATATACCAAGAATCTCAACAAACCCCAAGCACGTGCACACATGCGTGCGCACACACACGCTATGAAGAAATCCAGCTTGGAGGGTAGGAAGATTTCTACTCTGGCTTATTGTTCGTAAACTAGAACATGTGATCCATAACTTATCACTGACTTTGGTCCAAATAACAAATGAAACAACTCAAGCTTTGGGTACTCCACAGAGTAGCATAAATGTGTTACTTACAATAGTCTATAATAGTGAAAATGTCCTTTACTATTTATTAGCCAGCTATACAAAAGCTATTTTACCTTTTTGAAGTAAGGACTTAAAAAAATTAATCAATCCGTCAGTTACAAAGTTCACAATGTTAGCTAAGATTGATCAAACTGATTCTTGAGCCCTATTCTCATGTTTAGGCCCAGGCTGACTAGAAAAAATGGGTATGAAGTAGATTCCAAATTTCTTATAATATTTGTGATTATACTCACACTTTTTTATTTGCCTTCTTCCACTAATGTTCATGTGTTTACATGTTGGTACAGAACCAATATCCTATGGTAACATCTAAATGATTATTATGTATCAACAAGAGACTGAGGCTCTGATGGTCAAATTGTCTCCATTAGAAGCAGAATTTTGACCAAATGCTGGCAGGTTAAAAGTTCTGAAGAGGAAAATGGTACAAACCCAGTTTAACTAATACAGGGATTCCAACAGATGACACTGGCAGAGAGAACTCATCATGTACACAGTTTTTAGCTAAACTTTCAGTGCTACCCAGAAAACCCCCAAATCACTGAAATTGGTTTCCCCCCATGACCCAGTGAAATCGCTCCCAAAGTAGACTGCTCAGACTGTCCTTTCAGAGATCCCAGAATATCAGCTTATGAAAGAGAGCGAGAGAGTGAGAGAGTGAGAGAGCGAGAGAGATCTTTATCATTTCCTCATTGTGTTTTTCTTTCTCCCCTCCCACTTATTTTGTTTTAATATAATTTTTTTTGGAGTTTTGTTTGAAGGTCAAAAATTCTTTCTTATATATGAGAATGAATTATGTACTGATAATTGTCTTTGAGTTATTTTTAATACTATCTATTAATATAGACATATAATATACAAATATATACACACATTTATAATGCTTATGATTAATTTTGTAAATGAATACACCCTGGGTCCTCTAAAAAATGCAGGAGGGCAGCAGGATGAAGCAAGCAGAGTGTAGGAAGCTCACAGCAGAACTGAAGAGCAAAGAGAATTCTGCTATAAGCCAAAAAGCTAAAAGTCAGGCTGTAAAAGAGAACTATATCTCTATGGTCCAAAAAAGCTGCTTCCTGCGCTCAAATGCATTTTTTTTTAATGTCCAGAGTCTCTCTGGTGCTCAGATCCCAAACCCTGCTGAAAAAAAAAAAAAGAGTTCTGATCCTACTCCCAAATGTGTGAATCCAGTGGAAACAGAATCAAATTAATTAAACAGAACCAACCCAGCTCAAGACACATTAGATTAACTTAGCCCTCCATACTGGTGGCCTGATAGAAAAATGTACTGTCCATACCTGGGAATAAATATTTACTTCTGTCTCTACTGTTCTGTCACACACACTGTTTGGCATATATTAAAAAGTTACAAAAGGCACAATGAAGCACAAAAAGTGACATTTAATCAGGAGAAAAAGTTAATAGAGACAACCCCAGATGGCCTAGATCAGCGGTTCTCAACCTTCCTAATGCTGTGACCCCTTAATACAGTTCCTTATGTTGTGGTGACCCCCAACCATAAAATTATTTTCGTTGCTACTCTATAACTGTAATTTTGCTACTGCTATGAATTGTAATGTAAATATCTTTTTGTTTTCCGATGGTCTTAGGCGACCCCTGTGAAAGGGTCATTCAACCCCTAAAGGGGTCGCGACCCACAGGTTGAGAACCGCTGGCCTAGATACTGGACTTGAACTATTAGACAAGGACTTAAAAATAAATATAAGAACTATGTTAAATGACCTAGCAAATAAAAACTAGACAATACATGTGATCAAGTGAATGATTTCAATAGAGAAATGAAAAACTATAAAAAGTAACAAAGTGGAAATATAAATAAAACAATAACAGAGATCGAGAATCTATTCATGGCATTGACAAAAAAACTACACACAACAAAATATGTAATGGGGAACTTGAAGACAAGCTAATAGCAATTATAAAACAGAAACAATGATAAAGGGGAATAAAAACAAAACAAAACATAATATCTAAAACATATGTAACACTATAGAATGATCTGACATATATGTAATTAGAGTTCCAGAGAGAGAAAATAGGATAAGGCAGAAGAAACATTTGAAGAGATAACAGCAAGAAGTTTTTCAAAATAGATGAAAAATATCAGTCGTAGACCCAAAAAACTCAGAGAACCCCACGCAAAATAAAAATAAAGAAAATTATACCTATACATATTATAAACTGCTGAAAATCTGTGATCAAGAGGGAAATCTTAAAAGCAGCCAAAGAAAAAGATGCATTACCTACAGAAGACAAAATAAGAATGCTAGAGATTCAGCTGATGTGTTTGGAGCAAGTATCCCAGGTCTCAGAGGTCAGCTGTCTCACCTCCTCACAGACGACCTCTGGAGAAGGGCACGGGACAGGTTCAAGATTTATAGTTCTAGACCTAGTTCTGGCTTGTGGTTTCATCGCATGAGTTAGCACCAAAGGAGTTTCCTAGATCTAATGAAACTAGGAGGCGTTTTTCTCTCCAGCAGCAGAACACAGTGAGAGAGAGAAGAGAAGGGCAGGGGAGGGCAGGGGAGCGGGAAGGAAAGGGTAAAAAAATGTGTACAGTTTTAAGCTTCTTACATTATAATTAAGTTCTAAAAGGTTTTTTGAAGCTAGACTGATGAATTAAGATACATAGTTTAATCCCTAGAAAAACGACTAAAAAACAAATAGAAGCCATAAGGCAGGAAGTGAGAATCAGAACACAGGTAACAGATGGTGTCGCCTTGCAGCTGCCTACTCGAATGCTCCTGCGCACTGATCCTTTGAAGTCATAAGGGAGTGTCTTGGAATGTTGAGACCGAGAGAATAATCTCGGTAAAACTTCCTTATCCGGTAGTCTCAGAACCTGTATGTGTGAAAGCACAACTTGTGGTTGACCACGAGTTTCTGTGAAGCAGCTGCTGGTCTAATTGAATCAATTAACTGGGTATAGATATTCAAATTGACTTCTTTGTGACCGTTGTAAATAAAAGTTATTCACCCGCCAGTATCAGGGCTTGCTGCAGAGAGAGACCCCTGGCCTGCAGAAACTCTACTTATGACTCTTGTGATTTCTTAACCCTTCGCCGCCCCTCCTCGAGACCCCCAGCCCTTGTCACGTGGGACTTGATAAGATGGGAAAAGTAAATATGGTATAGTTAAACCAAAACACATCAACAATTACATTAGTTTTTTAATATATTGTTTTTGTAGACCTTACTTTTGATCTTTTTCTCTTCAAAATCCTGGAGTTTAAGCAAGAAGGAGGGGGTGCAGATCTCAGTGAAGTCTTCTCAGCATGATGATGCCAAGAGCAAGGGCCCCGGAAGCAAACTGCCAGGGTCGAGTGCCGGCTCTCACCATCACAGGGTGGGTCCCCTGGTCAGGTTAGCTGCCATTCAGTGCCTCAGTGTTCTCATCTACAGCAAGGGCTGGTAATGGCTGACACTGTCTCAGGATTGTTAGGTGGACGAAATAACTGGTTACGTGGTAAAGCACTAAGGAACCATGCTGGTCACACAGTAAAGCTCTAAGAAAGCTGTTGTTGTTATGTCTTTTCTTTCCACTTCTGACTGCTCCACTGTAGACTTTCAACATTCCCCAGGATAAATGAGGAGTGTTAAATGGTTTGGTTGGCCTCTTCTCCCCCATATTAGTGGCCAGCATCTGGAAATCTGGTTACTTGAAAGGTTTGATGGTGAGCCGAGGTGTACAATGCAGGAAGGGACTGAACCCAACTTCATCAAATCCTTGGACCTGGGACAGGCGTGACGATTGCTTAGCCCACGGTAGACAAATTTTTGCACACAATTCTAACAAGAGCTTTTAATATCCAGTCAGACTTTCCCAAGTATTAGAAGGAAAGTCCAAGGATGTACCAATGACCCCTTCCTTTTTGTTGTTCTTAAGAAATCAAAGTGGGGGGGGGGGAGAAAAAGAAAAAAGAAAGAAATCTAAGTAGGAAAGTTTAATTTACCTGGAATTTGTAGGTTTCCTCTTTCAGTTATGATGAAATATCTATAGCAAACCAGTATTTACCCTGAAAACAGGTAAGTAAAGTCTGGTTTAAAGGAACTCTGTTTGAAGTCTTTGGAGAATTGCCAAGGCAGCTGGGACAAACAGTGCCAGCTTCTGAGGAGGGCTCATTAAAATGAAAGTAACTGCCTTTTCCCCTCAGGGCGTGTGCCAGTTCTTGGCAGGGAACAAGAGACTGAGGCCCTGGGGAGAGGGCAGCTGCTAAGAGTCAGAAAAAAATAGCAGCACTTTAATCTCACGGGGGTGGGGGCAGCAGGGTGAAGGGGTGGGAGGGACTGGGGTGGAGAGGGAGCAGGGAAGACTTGTGGAGCTGTCCAGGTATTCGGACTTGTGCCAAATCCTGGACTGCACTGGGAAGTGAGCCGGACACTTGTAAAGGCCTATTCCTCAAGGCATTTGCGAATTCAGCTATATGATGGCAAGAGGCTATGAAGGCAAGCAGAGCAAAGCTGGAAGAAGAGCAGTTTTCAGTGGTACCACGGTGCAAAGGGGATCAAGACAACATTGAAGTTCAGGATCCTCCAGAAGAGAAGGTGCTTCTCAGATGGGAGCACTAAAGATCGATAGCCCCGGAGTATGGGCAAAACCAGATATATTAATAGATTGAGCCTTCCCACGAGTGCAAATAAACTGTAAACCTGCTTAGTCATTGAATGAATTGAGATGATCTGTCCCTCTATAACCTCCCCCAAAGATAACATTATTGAATCCTCCATAGTTTTTCACATATTGGGTCCATCATTCCATCACATTTTCCAGACATAAAAAGAAATTAGAGCAATGGGGGGGTGGGTGGGGTGTGTGTGTGCAGGGGTGGGAATGGGGGGAGAGGTAGTAGATAATTGAAACTGACTCACAACATGATTGAGCTACTGGAGTTATCAGATAGGAACACTAAAATACATACGTTTTAGTTATTCAAGGACATAGAACTTGTACCAGAGATAAGCAATTAAAAAATAAAATAAAAATTCTGGAACTGAACTATATGATAACATTTTAAAAAGCAATATGTGGTTTTATAGCAGTTTGGACCCAGTAGAAGAGGAATTAGTAATTGAAAAATAAATATAAAATATCTAGTTGATGTATAGAGAGCTAAAAGGAAGGGAACTTCAGAGAGGAGAGTAAAAAAGTATAGGTCATGTTATAAAGGGCTAACATACATGTATATGAAGTCTCATGTAGTAGTAGATGGAAACTGGAATAAAAGCAACTTTGTAAAATGTAATGGCCAATTAAAAAATAACCAATAAGCTTTCAAGGCAAATGTACAAAAAAACAAACAAACAAACAAAACTCTTTCAACTCCAAACAGGTTGAAAACAAGAGAACTGAATCTAGAGACGCGATTGTAAAACTGCTGAAAATCAAAGGCAAACAGAAAAGCCATGGAAACGTCAAGAAGGAAAAAATTTACATATTAACTATTAAAGAACTAAAACACTATAATTTTTAATTGACAATTTAATCGTTGACAAAATATATTTCAAAGTAAAGATGAAATAAAGACCTTTTCCAATAAGCAGCACACCTTCACCTCTACGAAGACCTAAATGAAAGAATAAAAAAATCTGTTAAATTTACAAATCAGCCCCACATTAAGTATCCATTATTCACATTCAAAGATATGAACAAAATATTTTAAGGACTTTAACAAAGTGGAAAGTAACAGAGTGAAAATCAAAATAGTCATTAGCAAAGTATAACGTTTATACTTTGGGGGTTTTTTTTAAGCAATGCAAAAACTATCATTTACAAGTAGCAAAGTTCGGTGAGGGTAGAAGTTTGAAAGGTTAAAATTGACTTCATGTTAAACTCCTACATGTTTCCCTGCTGTGAGAGAAAGAAATCCAACTTTGCATTGGCATCTATTTATTATTATGAAATGAAAAAGACATCATTATGCTAAATTTATTAGTCAGACGTACAGCATCATACTCCAGCTTTTGACCACTATGTTCTTGAAAAAGGGTGGAGGGGTTAAAATTTGGAGTCTTCCCAAAGAGGAACAGTAAGAATCACTAGATGCTTTTAATAGTTCATTTAGGAAAAACCACAAGAACTGTTTCTATTGGAAAATGTCTTCAATAAAATATAAGGTGATGAAAAAATATTGTTTTGATATTTTCTAGTAAAAGCAAGATTGAACAAGGAGAATGTTTAAAATTTTCTCTAGAAATTGATTGGTTGGTAGTATCAGTAAAAGGGTACACAGATTTTGAAAACTGGCTGGTGAGAAGGGTGGTCTCCATAGATAGAGGTGTCCAGGGAGAAGCTGGAAGCCTTGTGTTGAGTATGGCCAGTAACTGGAAGGCAGAGCTTCCTCGGGTTCTGTAGCTACTTCCACATTCTGATTCTGTGATTATGACTTGAGACCTGGCACCCTGAGTCATTCCCATGACACTATTGTTGATGTGTCAGTGACTTGGGATTTGAGCTTTGCCATCGTAAGCTTTGTTTCTGTCTTCATAACTCAAAACTTGTGGGTGACAAAAAGGCTTTCTAAATTCTGAAGGGACACTCCCAGCGAACTTTATTTTAACTGTAAGTATCAAAAATACTCATCCCGTAGCCCAGTTTAAAGCCCATTTGTTTTCATCATCGTTCGCTTGTTTTTTTCTTTTAAAACACCTCCGGACCCTCCTCTTCCTCCTCATAGCAGCATCTCTTGCTATTTGCAGTATCTTTCCTCCAACCCAGCGGCTTGCCGGGGTCCTCATGGCTGAGGAGGAACTCTTCAAGGGGGTATATTGTCGGTCATTCTTGACTTCCTTGGAGGTTCTGCTCTTGTGATTTTATGCTACTATGGGGTCCTCTTTATAATCCAACTTCTTTAAACCATAATTTTGCTTTGATCCTTCTATGTACCTTTGGAGTAAAGCCTGGCCACTGTGGAGACCCAGACACATTTCTCTTCCATCTTTCCTTTTAAAGGAGGCAGTAACAGGGTTCTTTGTGAGAACATGCTCCAAGGAAAGCCTGGGATGCATCAACTCTTAGAGAAGGGGCCTGCTGAGGAGGGAGTGAATGAGTAGACGACTCTACCTGAGGAAGCAGGATTCTCCTCTGTGTCCCTCAGCGGATAAGAGACCTTTGTTCAGGGACCTCCACTGTCAGAATTATGCCACTGCCATCAGAGCAGTTTTCAGGGTCTACATCCAGACTCTGCACCTTAATTGTAGGGCTTTCTTTTAAGACCTTCCTGCAAATTCCTTAGAGAAAAGTCTATAGTATTTTCATTATTAATTACTTTTTACTATTCAGAGTAATTTGGTGTTATTCTAACAATGTATGTATTCACCAAGTACA